CTCTTGTCTTGGTATAATAAGGACATACCCTGTATAACCCGGTGTGAGGCGATCATATAAAGGTTGCACGGGACAAAACGATTATTACTTAAGGTCGCCATTGAAATGATAAAAATTTTATTTCTTATGAAGTGTGTATATAATCGGTAGGCCACCAACGGAGTAATGCAGCCTTGAAATAATTTGGATTTATCTAGGAATGTTATTGAACGTTTTTTTCGTCGAAGGAAAACGCTTTAAAGATTCTTTTCTGATTGATTTGATGTCTAATTCCATTTATCTAGTTTTTGAATGACTGTCTCATTGATGAAAGATTGGCTAGGAAGCCAGATGAAAATGGTTTAGGCAAGTTAGTTTTTCTAATTTAGCGATGTTAGTTGTTGGGTTTTGATTTTTTCTATTGCTCGGGTATTGATCTGATCTTGAGTTCTTTTTTTTTTCTGAAGTGTAGTTGAATAAAGCCACATTCTAGCGCAGGCGGACGTAGCCTTACACAGTGTGCACTCGACCTTTTGCAGAGATGGTCTCATATCCGGGTGTACAGAAAAGCTCCTTTTTTGCTTCGAGTATAATTAAGTTGTCCAACATGATATAATTCACGCTTCACGCTTCATTATTCCCGTCTTGACATACAGTCTCTTTCAATTTGATGTGCCTGCCTGAACTACGGTTAGCTCTTCACTTTCATTTCGAATAGAAAAACATGCAAAGTTATCCTAAAACCTTATCCATCCAAGCGAGTGCGTAATTTTGTCAATTGTGTTTGTTCTTCAGTTCAGAGAAGCTAACTTATTGGGAACTTATCGTTGTAGTGGTTAAGATAGTCATGAAGTATAGATGTAAGTATATTTGAAGAATGCTTTCAGACCTACTTATACGATAATGTTAAAATGATTGAGTGGATTATTATATTCCTTGTGGCCTAATTTTTTGATTAGCAAGATATCTTGCCATTCGACTTTTTCAGCTATCCGCTGATACTGACCAAAATGTAAGAAGTGGAGCAGAGCTACTGGACCGATTGCTTAT